TTTTTTCTGTATTTCAGCAAACATGGTAAATGCTTTTGTACAACACTGAAAGGGACAGTTCACACAAAATAAATATTCTGCCATCTTTTACCCACACTCATGTCATTCCAAGCCCTTAAGACTTTTATTCATCTTTGGAAAACAAATGAATATATTAATAAAATTCTTTCATCATTTTTGTTCATCAATTGAAAGTCAAAAAAAGAAAAACCTTTGATGCTTCAAAAAGTTCATAAAGTTATTGTAAATGTATGAATTTCATTTCGTTCATTCATGTATAAACATTCATCATTGAGCATACATAGAGCAAATAAGCTCAAACATGCTTGCTTGACGTGAGAACCAATGAGGTTTGTTCTCGTCTGTCAGGCTAGCGCGTTTGAGTTTCCATTTACCCTGGATTTGACTGGACTTTTAATGGATGAACAGAAATGATGAAAGAATATTAAAAATAGCTTCATTTGTGTTTTGAAAATGAAAACTCTTTGAAAGTGAGGGTGATTAATTAATTACTAAATTTTCATTTTTTTAACCCTTCAACTATATTGAGCAAAAATATTGAGTTAAATAAATCATAAAAATTGCAGCAACAATTTCACAATACACAGTATATACACGTGTTGACTTCAGTGTCTGTCCTGACCAGTCCACAATCAGCATTTTGAAATGCATTTGTTATGTTAAAAGAACAGGGCTCTGTGACTAGGTAAAATGATTTCAGTTTCCCTTGCATTTATTTGCAATCTGGCAGTAGAAAATTAATATGTTATGTGACTGCCTGACATTGTTTTTTCTTTGGAATGTTTTAGGTGAAAAACCAGGAAGCTGCATTCATAAATGGATGATTAGTTTTGAGGGGCAAATAATCGGTGAGGGCATCCAGCCAAGTTTTCTGTCTGGACTTGCTGCTGTGTTTTCGACTTTCTACAATTTCAATGTGGAGTACCAAGCTGAGGCTGCATCCACGTTGGAATTCATTCAGAGGTTAGATGCTTAGATTCATATATTAATTTCTATTCACATTCTCGTTATGTAAACTTTTACCCACACTAATTCTGAATGTACGCATTTGTTTTTCAGGCGCTTCATTGGTATAAATCCTGAAAAAGGCACCAAGGGTGGACAAGTCCTATCAAAGCGGACAGGGAAGGTCGCCCACAAAAAGAAATCAGTCAACACTCGGGTTGCCAGTCTACTTAAGAAACTAATGGACTTTGAGTGGGACTTCATATAAGTGAACCCACTCATTCACTGACATACCACACACACACCTTACACATACTCTTCACACACGACAAAAACATGCTTTTAGTGTGTTAGTCGCACAATTTTTTCAGGTGTTCATTTTTGAATACCAACATTTTCACTTCATTCTTCATTGAATTCTTTCTTCATTCAGTAATTCTTATTCACTAATAATTCAGTAATTCTTATTCACTCAGTAGTTCTCTGAGTCACTCATTTAGTTTTTTCTAATGTTATATAAATGTTTTGTTTATTCAGTTAAACAAAAGTTTATTCTGAAGCTTAAGTTTTAGTCATTTCACTTGCATCAGCCACTAATTTTGAGAATATTTTGTGATTAAAGTGGCTTTTGTTTTTCAAAGTTTTAATAAAGCACGTTTTGAAGTTACACTGCATTGTGTTACATTTTTTATGTTTCAAAGGCTATATTTGTACATTGTATTAAAACATGATTTTATAGCAAAACTTCTAAGGGGTAATTCATAAAATCAAAGAAATATCTAGAAAAATAATTCCACCTTTTTTTCTTAGCAGTCCATTTCTCAATATAATAACATTTGTAGTTTACAGTTAAAAAAGGGCAAATAAACATTAATTAACTGTTAATGCTTTTGACAGTAATTTACTGTTAATGTAGAAAATAACAGCTTTATGCTGTATTTCCAAAAACAGTAACAAACTGTAAATTTCAACAACAGCAAGGCACTGTTAATTTAACAGTAACTTGCTGGCAACCGTGCTGCCAGTTACTTACTGTTTTTTAACGGGACAATTTTTAACAGTGCTGAATGTGATTGATTCTCACTCTAATGTTCTTGTTTTTTTTATCCATTAGGTTCGCTCTTGCTGTCCTGGAGGGCTCAGTAGAGCTGCCCACCCGGGAAGAGATGGAGAAGGAGGTGCAGAGAGAGATGCAACGAAAAAAAGACACAGGTGTGCAGGTGAAGCACCTGCTCAATTTGGACAAAGATCAGTGGGAGTATTAACTGGATCTGGCCAGGGTGGGCCGATTCACACCTCCTCAGTCAGTGTTTGAGAGTCTCTATGAAGAGGTGCGCAGACAGAGGCAGAAAGACCCACAGAAATACAGACAAAGCAACTATAGGCTCATTGATGCCACACAGTGGGAGATTTGGGAAGCTCCACCAGAACAGACTGATTGAGTTTAGCTACAGTCTGGGGACAAATGAATTGCGTTCACTTCCAGCTGGTTAGATTTTTTTTTTTTAAATGAAAGAGATTTCTGTATTTTATCCATTCAATAGCCTACGAAAGCGATCCGAGTTTCGCACATAAATGTAGTAAAACGTAGTGGGATATTTTGTCTATGGTTTTGTCTTTTATGATTGGCCATAATACCTGCAGGCTGCAGCCAATGGAAATGCTTCTAAATCGGTGCGCGTCCTTCTCCTATCACAGCACAGATCGTGAAAGCAGACTGTTTCAGGTGAATTATCTAGGATGAACCGTGATTTTCGCTGAAAATTTTTACTTTAACAGATTAGAAAATTTGATATGGATAAAGCTGTGTTTAACATACCTGAAATTATCCAGATTTTTATGTAAACTCTGTCTAAAAATAATGTCGTCGAGCCGAAAAGAGCTTGCATGAACTGAGATGAGTGAGCTTTTAATGATTATAAAGACAGTTGTGATGTTGATTTTATACAGCAGTTCAAAAAACAAGAAGTTAGAATTATGTTCATATTTTAATATGTCCATAATTTTAAGTACATTTTAGGAATACTGTTGTCTGATTTTGCTCTATTTCGTCAACGTAATTAGTTCCAAACAAAGTCGCATTTAAAACTTGGCGCATCTACCAAGCAAACATAGCGGTGTTTAGTTTATGAATTAATCAGCATTTTTGAACGAATCTAGTGAGTCAATGATTTAATCACCCGCTCACAAGGACAGTAGTCACTTGCTTCGTTCCTGAATGAATCAGCCGTTTGAACGAATTGATTGAATTAATGATTCAGTGACAAAGACAGTGACTTGCTGCCACCTACTGGCCCTTTTATTTTCATTTTAAAGTATCATTTCAGTGCTTAAAATCATTTAATATTTCTATATTCAAATGTCTTTTTTCTATTTTCAAACTTTATATTTAAAGTTTATATCTAACTCTAGCACTCTATTCTAATTCTATTCTTTAAAAAAACGTGCCCCTTTTAGACTTGCACTCTGTTCATTTACTAACTGCTTGTTTTTCTTTTCCTTGCTATGTGTACTGCGTTAAGCTAACTGAAACTTGTTATAGCACTTGCATATCATTGCTCTCTTGTTGATATTGATTGCTTCCATTGTCCTCATTTGTAAGTCGCTTTGGATAAAAGCGTCTGATAAATGACTAAATGTAAATGTAAAGCATTAATCTCATAATACTGCTGAATTTAAATGCATCCATGCCACTTCTGAGCCTCTTTTTATTGTTCAATTCAATCTATTGTTTTCAATTTAAAAAATATGTAAATAATAAATGTATGAATTTGAAATAAAAGATGACACATTCAATAAGGTTAGAAAAAATTACATTACAAAGATGCCCCAGCAAATCACTTTAAGGAGTCAAATATCTCCTCATAATGTGAAGGTAAATTTTTTGTCATTGATCAGAAGGTGCTCCTAAATTTTTAAAATGGTGTTTTTGAATCATTCTCCCTTTTTATTAAACACAAGGGCTCATATTAATGCTTACATTATTAGCCCCCCTCCGCCCCCTACCCTTTCCAATCTACAGTCCCCCCAGTGAATCTTGGCCATTTCCACCACTGGATATATGTGCTGAAGGAAGAAAAATCACTTATCACTTGTTTTTAGAGATCAAAGTTTTATGTTTTTTTTTTTTTTTTTTCATAGGTGTATGTCAAACTTTATTGTTGTCTAGATGTATGTCAAGATTTGCATTTTCAATTTAAATTTTTTCATTTATTGGCATAACAAAAAATAAAATATTACAATTGAGTTAAGTTTAATTTAAACATAATGACTGAAATGTTCATTTAAACATTTACATGATTTACAAAATATTTTACTATTAGTTATGTTCTTATTTCGCTTGAATGACAGCAACATACGAGCCCTGTGAGCTCCACAATTCAGTAAAAAAAATAATAATTGTATCAATGACCCATATAGCCTACATATATGTACATAAATGGGTCAGTAACATAACACTCCTTATTTTCTGTCTAAAAAAAAAAGAAATATGTCTCATTAAAATGCAAACCATTCCTAGGAAAAAATAATGTTGGCATATATATTTTGGTAATATCTTTATTTATTTTATTTTTTTATGCACTTAAAATAATGTTGTTGTCATGCAATAACACTTTAGAATATAATGCTATTTTTTTAATGGATACACAACTTGACACTTTATAGTCATTAAACATCATTTTAAAGATTTTTAATATTCCACATTCCATTTTTACTGTATGATCCTGCAAAATAAAATCATTTCTTCTTTCAAACGTTTTCCGTCTTCATTTTAGTGACTAATTTTGTAGATAAACATTTTTTAAACTTCATCTTAACTCAAGGCAATTAAGCAACCTCGAGCTCCTCCAGAAATATTCTAATATTTACACAGAGATGCGATGTGAAGTTTATGTTAGGCTTGAAGGGGATGTGATTTTCTACATTATTCAAGCATTGCATCACAGCTTTCATCAGCAGTGTGAACAACACGCCACAGTCCCGCAGACTTTCCCATCTGCTCGTAGTCTTCATCTCCCAACATGTGAAATCGGACACCTACTTTCTCAACCCGTCCCAAACAGTCTTATCTGCACTTCCAGCTGTCACTATAACACTATACAAAACATTCACGCGCAATTCAAACTTTAACAGCAGCAACTGACTTCAAAAGTTTGACATCGATAAAAGTCGCCGTTTAAGAAAACATAAGAGAAGAAACTCGGACGGAGGGCGGGAGGAAAGGGAAAGCCAGAGGGGTGTTTCCTCGCCAGGAGAGGAAGGATTAAAGTAGTCAGAAATAATTCATTAAACAGCGTGAAATGTCTAAATACATTGACTTTTAGATGACAGTCGCGATGTCGACATCAGTTTTCCGATAAAAGGTGAGTAAATTCATGTCTCTTCTAGAAAAGACAACAGGAACCGGAGGGGCTCAGTGACGATACGATTCAGCTTTGACAATACTAAAATTGAGTATAAAGTTTATGAATAATAGAAAGAAAGAAAACATTTTGGTGGTTTCTTTTTAAAGACTCGCGTATTAGTCGTGCGTCATGAAGCAAACAGAAACGCTCCTTCATTTTAATGTGACAGAGTGTGCTGGACTTGTTTTCTCTGAAACCAGGAATTTTAATGTAGCATGGCTTTCTTTAAAGGTCTGGAATGAAATTAAATGCCCTAGTGTATTATTTGAAGGGTAATTTCATTTCATTTGGTCCCTCATGAACATGTAAACAATGACATTAACAGCGAAAAACAGATACCAACTTTTACTCTTTCTGCAGGCATTTTCTTATAGCCAGAGTAGCCTATATGTGTATCTGTATACAAAACAAAAATGTGGTCAATGTATTTTTTCTCCATGAGAATGTCTTTTGGCCTGTTCTCAGCCATGTTTCCCAATTCTCCTAAGTGTATTACGAAATATGCACATTATGATTGCAAAATTTGCTGTAAAACTGTCCACTGTTGCTTTTTCAAGGCATACCTACATATCAACATACACTACCATTTAAAAGTTTGGGGTCCATTGGGTCATTTAAAGAAATTAATACTTTTATTCAGCAAAGATGTATTAAATTGTCCAAAAGCGACTCTCGAGTCATTTATAATGTTAAGTCATTTATAACAAAATATTTATATTTTGAATAAATGCTGCTATTTTGGCCTTTCTATTCATCAAAGAATCCTGAAACAAAAGGTTTTTCCACAAAAATATAAAAAATATTTTCAACATTGATTGGAATCAGAAATATTTCTTGAGCAGCATATTAGAATGATATTTGAAGGATCACATGACACTGAAGACTGGACTAATGATGCTGAAAATTCAGCTTTGACATCACATAAATAAATGTATATTAAAATATGTTAAAATAAAATAAAAACAGTTGTTTTAAATTGTAATAATATTTCACAATATTACTGTTTACTGCATTTTGATCAAATAAATGCAGCCTTGGTGAGCATAAGAGATTTCTTTCAAAAACATTAAAAAATCTTACCAACCCCAAAATTTTGAATGATGTCCATTGCATTTCAAAATCTTGATTGCCACAAAACACTTTATATGACTTAAAGACATTCTGATAGAATCTTTAAGAAATGTGCTTTAAAAAATCACCTTTCAGACTAGAAAACACAAATTTTCTTGAGTCACCCTGGATTTTTTTTATTTTTTATATATATAATTTTTTGTTTAGCTTCATGAAAGGTTTTGAAAAATGATTTTAAGTCTTAGTCTTTATATATTTTATAATACGTAACATTCATTGACTTTAAATGCATGTGCTTGTGGCCTGTCTATGCTGGACTAGCATCACTCTCCAACGGATGGAGGAGAATCCAGAGAGCGACAGGCATTATGAGAGGACCACTGATGACCCCTCACCCTCTGGCCAGGGGACCAAACAGCAGAGTGAGGAGTCCCCCCTGGGGGATCACGACCTTCCCATCATGCAATGGGAAGATTTAAGTTTGCGAATTGCAGAGTTAGAAAGGCAGGAAGAGGAAAGAAGGAAAAAAGCAGAGGTAACATTTTATCAGGACTTTATATACATTAATTTATTAAAATATTAATTTTAAATATTCAAAATACAGTGAAGACCTCCTTATGTTTCAGAGTCTGGGTTTATCAGAGCGAGACAGAATACTTGGATGCTGGACAGAGTCAAAACACCATTCACTTCACCTGGTGCCATGGGCGGATGAGAACGACTACAGTCCCTGCCGTGTCCCTGTCATAACGTCACGGTATTCTGCATGTGCAGGTTCATAATCTTTAGCTACTTTGTTCTGATGTTCTGTTTTATGTGTGCTGCGTGTTTCCACCCTTCAGGTTTAATAGTCCTAAAAATCTTCAGCTGTGTTTCATCAACAACAGTGAGAGTGAGGAGGAGGATGACGAAGGATTATTTAGCAAAGAGGTGGGTGCAGAGAGTGGTGATAGTAGTTTCCCTGAGTTGTATCTCAGGTCATGATTTATGAGGTTGCAAAAGGCATTAAGTTTTTGTCATCCTCAGAGCTCGTGTGAGGCAGAGGTACGAGGAAATTGCTCTCGGGGGCTAAAACAGGAAGTAAAAGCAGCACTCAGGGCTCTCAGAGACGAGCTATGGGCCGAACAGAAGGAGAAAGAGGTGAGAGGTTTCAAAGGCATAGTTCACTCAGCAGTCTTGCATGGCTGTCTTTCTTCCATGGAACACAAAAGGAGAATGCGTTGGGTGGTTTATACATGCGATTACAAAAAAACGAGAAAAACAAAACAAAATGGAGCTTGTAATGAGGACTGAAGCTTTCAAGTTTCAAAATGGATTATAAAACACCATAAAAGTGTCATTCAAGATATCTACTTTTGTGTTCCACAGAATAAAGTTAGACAAGATCACATAAGGGTGAGTAAATGATGACGGAAAAGCAGACTTGTTTCCGGTATTTTTCCCTTTCATTTTCTCCACAGGGATTTCAAAAAATTCTTCAATAAAAAGTTCAACCAACTCTGGGATGATTCACAACATTACAAACTTTCATTTGAAGCATAAAATTACCTAGCTATAATATGTAGACGAATTAGCTTATGCTCATCAAGGCAGTATTCATTTGATCAAAATTACAGTAAAAAACGTAATATTGTGAAATATTATTACAATTTCAAAGGGGGTTTTAATTCTGGAATGTCACTGGTGTACTCTGTGCCTTTAAGGCAATGGAGTGTAAGATTTCAGCGTTATCTGAATGTAATCCCTTATGTGTTTTTGTGTGTGTGTGTGTGTGTGACTCTCGTGGTGGTAATTTCTCTGGTATTTATATTTTGCATATTTTTGTTTTATTTTCAGCAAGCCACCCACAGTAACATGAGCATAAGGAGAAAGACTCTTAGCCTTAGTGATCTGCAGACATGCTCTTCACTGCAGCTGAAAGCGCTCAGGGCTTCGCTGAATGACTATGGTGGTAATTTCTCTGGTATTTATATTTTGCATATTTTTGTTTTATTTTCAGCAAGCCACCCACAGTAACATGAGCATAAGGAGAAAGACTCTTAGCCTTAGTGATCTGCAGACATGCTCTTCACTGCAGCTGAAAGCGCTCAGGGCTTCGCTGAATGAGGACATTCAAGGTATCTTTTTCCTCAGTGATACAATTTGCAGTCACTGAACTGCAGCAACCACATTTTCAATCAGTAATACAACTCACTAATGTCTTACAATTTTCATGCTTCTTTAAACTGTTTTCCAAAAATGTTTTTGCACTTTAAAATGACATTGATTTTTACTCATGCACTAATTTGATTCGTGCTTTTAGATTTGAGCTCAGAACTGGTGAAACATCTCGTAGTACGGGACCATCTTCAGACTAAGCAAGATGCTTTGCTCCTGGATGTACAGGATATGACATCATTATGAACGATTTTTGTTTTGAACACTGCGTAACTGCAGTTTAACGTTGGCACTTTCTGAAAGCAGTAATTTACTGTTACTCATCATATGGACTAACAAAGGCCAGAATATCCTGTTTATTCTTGAAGAAATGTAGCCCTCTCAGAAACTTTTGTTAAAATGTGAGTCACATTGATTATAGTCACAAGTTTTATTGTGGGAAAAAAGTGCCTTATAACGAACCCTAATGGCTCTGATTCATATGTCACTTACGGTTTAATTTTGCTTTCGTAAATAGAGAATAAATTAAGCTGCTGTCAAAGCCATATGTGCTATAACTGTGATGTATTAATCATCAGTTAGGCTACTTTAAGCATTGCATTGAAATACATTATATGTAATCGTCATGAAAATATAAACGTGGGCATTTTGCTGTCTTATGAATGTGCCTTACAACTTTCCTGTGTATCAAACTTACACATGAGGCTGAAGTATATCTCAGTGCTAAATATTCACAATAATTTAATAAATCATTTATTTTATATTTTATACACAGTCATTAGCCTTTTTTGTGGAACTGAAAAGGCAGTTATGGCATACATACTCTGCATTAAAAGATCATTTAAGGTCCTTTTGTGTTTCCTCGGATTGCTAGACACCCTCTTGAAGGTGCCTCAAATATCCCAGAAAGGAATTATAGATTAAAGTCATAATTAATGTTGTGGTATTTCTTTTTAATGAAATAATAAATAAAATAAAATGCACATTGTATATTATGTGTATTGTATATATTATATATTATGCATTTGTATGAATGACACTTGTAGCAGAATAAATGTGTAATTTGCTGACTTTCTTCAACACAGTATTTCCCACAGTATTGATTTGAAGTGACTTTCATTATATTACAGGAATAGGTCACCCAAAAATTAAAATTTACTGAAAATGAACTCACCCTCTGGCCATTAAAGATGTAGATGAGTTTGTTTCTTCATCTGAATACTTTTGGAGAAATTTAGCAATACATCACTTGCTCACTAATGGATCCTCTGCAGTAAATGGGTGCCGTCAGAATGAGAGTCCAAACAGCTGATAAAAACATCACAATAATCCACACAAAATTCACACTTGCTTCCGGCTAAAATACGAGTCCTCTAACCATAATATTGCTTTCTTCAATGAAAAAAATTGTCTCATCAGAAGAGAAAAATGCACAGATCAAGCACTGTTTACAAATCAAAACAGCCAAAATAGTTCTAAACAAATATGTTGATGAATTTTGATGTGAGAGGACAACAGAGGATGAACTTTTACATTGGGAGAAGTGTCATTATGGATTTTGGACTTGTATTTTGTTTCACTTCACAAAATGTTAATAATGGGCTGGAGTAATATTGTGGATTATTGTGATGTTTTTATCGGCTGTTTTAATTCATTTAATTACATGAGCAAGGGCTGCAATGCTAAATTTCTCCAAATATGTTCTTAAGAAGAAACAAACTCAACTACATCTTGGAGGACCTAAGGGTGAGTAAATTTTCAGTAAATCTTCATTTCTCTGTGAACTGTTCCATTAATGAAAATGCAAATTTATATACATATGAGTTAATAAGAACACATATTTGGTCTGAAAACAGAAATGACTGAGTATTACTGGTGAGGGTTATGACTTAAGACAAAACTTGTTTAGCCCTGGTATGCTTTAAATACCATGTTTTACATATAGTGAACCGGTTGCTGTACATAAATGTACTCGACTGCATGCGACTCAGCTGACTGACTGACCATTCATGCACAGTGAACAGCGAGGGAGTGAGAGAGGGCACAGAGACCAGAGAGAAAAGAAGAAAGCACACAGAATAACTGATTAGTAAAACCTAGCAGATCTGGATACCAAACTGAGAAAGCAATTCGTAAACAGGGACTGTAGTTCAAGAAGTGCAGCAAAAAGTACCCGGCACTGAACTTTTCAACCTGACCTTTTATCAAATGTGTGAAGAAATGAATGCATTTTGGCTGCTCATTGAAGTTACCTTTTTTCTTGACCTTTAAGCAGGTAAGATATTTCATTTAGATCTACTTTCAGTGGTCTACATTTATCATAACAAACTTTGCTTTAATACTATAAAAAATAAATTTGCTTTAAATGAATAAGGATGACCTATACAGTCTTTTCTGATCTCAATAATACTATCACACTTTTTCTAATTTACATTTTCTAACTTTTAATAATCAAATCATGGTGTTTATAATCGATACACATTTTGTGTTGAACTGCACGCATTTCTTGTCTGAATGAATGGGAATTAATTATTTACTGGAACATACCTGCAAGGACACATGATATTGTAATACCAAAACTGCCTCTGTAGTACACAAGCATATTCATTAAGAAACAAACTCAAGTATTTCATGAACCAAACATGGAGACATTGTCATTACTGCTCCATGTTATGTAGGTATACCATGCATATAGATGAATGCATCATCCATGTCTAGCCATAAATTAGGCATCTTAATGTACACGCTTTGCAGTTTTTATTGAAAAAGGGGCAGTTGGGTCAGGTGACGCGTTCTTAATTTATATGAAGAAAAACTGCAAAGCGAAAGAACTCGTCCAATACATGGGACTCAAAAAATGGGGGATGTAAAGATGAATGAAGGGTTTACAGAATGGTTTGTTACTGATTGATGGGGTAATAGACCAGAAGAGGTCTATTCAATAGGTTCAGCACTATAGACAGATAAAGTTGAAGGGCTGGGTCATTGGTCAACCTGCTGTTTGCTTGGAAATAAAATATAGGACAGACTGCCAGAAAGTTCAGATTTACAATGCAATCACGGTTCCTCTGTTTTCTATATCTTGGAGCGATGTCCTCACAGGATATCCTGAAAGTTGAAGAATGTGGAGCTTCTAGATTGAATTGAAGAGGTATCAAGAAGACAGTGATGTGGCTCTGAAGTTACAAGGACAGCTGATCATGAAGACCACGACTTCAATCTCCAACGTATCACTGCAGCCAGATGTTCATAACCACAGCGCACTGCACAGCTGCAGCATGGACGAGTCCTACAAGTATATCATCTTGCCTCTATGCTACTCCTTGACCTTCTTGCTCAGCCTCGTCCTGAACTCCACCGTCCTCCTGCGGTCCTACCAGTGCAGGAGCGGCCGTCAGTGGAACACTTCGCTAATCTACATGGTCAATCTGGCCTCCACGGATCTGATGTACAGCTTGTCGCTGCCGTTCCTCGTGGCCAGCTACGTGATGCGTGACCATTGGGTTTTTGGAGACTTCATGTGCAGGCTGGTGCGTTTTTTGTTTTACTTCAACCTGTACTGCAGCATCTTCTTCCTCACCTGTATATCCGTCCATCGCTACATGGGCATCTGCCATCCTATCAGAACCATCGCCTTGGAGAGCAAGCGGGCGGTTAGGGGCATTTGCGCAACTGTTTGGGTCATTGTGTTCATACTTACATGCCCAATCGTCCGGTTTGCCAAAACAGGGGATGTTTTGAGGAAAATCAGAGGTGGGATGAACAAAGGAACCAATTCTTGGTTGGAAAATAGGGGCGATGCTGGAAAAGTCGAGGTGGAGGTATACAGGAACTGTTGGGATGACGCAATAGATAGTGAGTTTTCTGAATACGTGCCTTATGGAATCGTTCTACACCTTCTGGGCTTCTTCTTCCCTTTTATCGTCATTGCATGGTGTTACTCGCAGGTGGTGTGGACAATCTTTCAGACGCTTCACTCCCAGCCACAGGTGCAAGAGGAAGGGGGAATGTGCGGCGGGATCGAAGGGGTCAAAGACAGGACATCCGTGTCCATCTCCGGCTCTCAACATGCACCGTACCTCAACAGGCGGCGCAAGTCCATCAAAACCATCATCACCATCACCATCCTGTTCGCACTGTGCTTCCTGCCCTTCCACATCACACACACGCTCTTCCTCGTCCTCAAGGAAACGAAGGCCGTTGAGTGCCAAACCATGCGGATGGTTTCCATTTGCTACAAAATCACTCGGCCGCTGGCTTCCTGCAATTCCTGGCTCAATGCTCTCCTTTATTTCATAACAGGAGACAAAAGCTTAGCCTGCTGTGGACGGACCAACGCCGGTCATAACACCCACCTGCTTGGCCTTTACAGATTCTTGGAGGACAGAGAGAGGCTGAGGATCAAGAGCAAGGCAATTCACATAAAGCAGAGGAAGCTCATGAAAGTGACTCGAAATCTTCAGGAATAACATAGATGAGGTCGGGAATGCACGATCTCTAAGGGACAGACCTACTTTAAATGCTATAGCTTTCATATTATTTATTATTTAATATATTTCACACAATCTTGAGTATTGCAGTATGTTTTATGCTAGTATGTGACCGAGCAGTTATCCTCCCACCTCTTTTAAACATAATGTTTTTGTGTTTGTGATGGATATTTGGTGAGCAAAAAATTCAGAATCAGTAAATATTATTGAAATAATAATTCATGAAAGTTTAAAGCTGGCATTTCTTAAGCACAAAGTAATTTATTAATTGCTAACTGACTAGAAGTAAAGTACAGGCCAAAATAATATACAAAAGAAACAGGAAACAAAAAGTTACTCATTTACATCTTGTGACAATTAAAACGATTTGTTCACACTATTAGCAAGGCTAATATGACCTGCATGCTGTCAAGATCCTGAAACTTTGGAACTCTGCATACTTTTACAATTTCATAAAGATGCTGTAGTGAATAAAAACTCATTTTTAATATATGTCAAAAGTTAAAGCTCAAACTAAAGCTTAAACTCAAAAACACACACACTTTCAGCTCATTGTAAATGGTCATGCTTCATTTATGCTTGAATTGTAATTCCTAAGCATTCGCTAATTCAGAAGCAACACCAGACATTTGTTTTTATGAATTTTTTATGAAATATTGTTCACACTGGTAGAATAAACTTTATAAATAACTTAATTTTATTTTGTTTAAATTGATGTTTACCTTGTTAGACATGGTTTTAAAAGAAACACACACACACTTTCAGACTACCACTGAGGTCATGCTTGAATATGTAAGAGATTAAAATTCATAAGAAATGACCAATTCATAAACAGCTGTAGATATTTGTTTCATGAATGTTGTGATAAAATTAACTTAACTTTTTAATTTTATTTTGTTAAATATGTTTACCTTAAATATATACACACTTTCAAATACCATTGTGGTAAATGGTTAATCTTGAATATGTAATAGTGTAAAATATATACAAATTCACAATTAAAGCAAAATCCATATTTGTCATATGAATGTAATTTACATTGACAGAATTTATTTGGCAGCATTTTACAATGAGGTTTGATTTGTTAAAAGTAGTTAATGCTTTCGGAATCATGAACGAAAAATTAACAATACTTTTACAGCATTTAACATCTAATACATTTACTTTGTTCAAATACAGTTTTGTAGTGTATTGCTGATGTGTGATGGTTTAGTATGACTGTCATGCATCCCAAGGTGACTCTTTTGAATTAATCCTCAATGAAAATAACCCTAAATATTTACCCTTTTTCTTTCATTAATCGTATTACGTGTTGTTTTAATCAGATTAATCTGAAAAGCAAACTCTATATATCTTGCAATAAGGCCAGAATAATTGGCAGAAGAATAAGCAGTAAATACTGTAGCTGTACGCCACATATTCACTTGTCTTGAGCACAGTGCTTTATCTCTGCGTGTAATTCTCTTGTTGACCAGAGCGAGGCGCTGTTGTACAAGGGGATGCACAATCTCTATTTGGTTGCGGGAAATATGTTTTATTTTCTAAATTAAGAAATGACCGAAAACTTTTAATGTATCCCGTGTTTCAGACTGTATCAGCAGACACTTTTAGATGAGGATGCTTTCGCCGACAGAGCCGACGATCATATGTGTGATCGGGATGGTGTTATGTCATTTCTCCGACTGCTTTACAAACTAGCAGGTAAACTTGAAAAAAAAAAAACAAGCCGTGGCAGAAAGCTTCACCTTTATAACGACATTTGACCGAAAAGACCCGAAAGCGTATTTTCTGACCACTTTTATCCGTATTTATTCGCTTATGTTCTGTTTTTGCTTTTCGATGTTTTATTTGCTCTGTTTGGATAAGTTGGATTTGATTAAAAAGCCAAAGGACCTTGTTGGTGGCTTTGCTTTGGAAATAGTGCTGACTATACATAACTTGTGGACTGAATACGAAAAATCTCTTTAATGCTACGAAATAACTGTATTTGCTTCCTGTTTACGCCGACGAAAGCAACCTGAGGAGTTTATACTAAGTTTGTGTGCGATCCGATAAACCAGCTGCAGCTCGAGCTCACAGCTGTTCAATAAATTAGTGTATCAAGCTGACACTATTTCGTTTGGAAAATAAAACAAAATGCGATAGACACGGGAAAGCAGTTCATTCAGTTAAATTGGATCGGGTATTTTGGCGTGAGGCCTGCTGGTCGGGCTTTTGCCGGGTGAGATTTGGGGGTTAGGCCGCGTCAGGTCGCGTTCAGCCCGGCCGTGAGTGACGCGCAGTCCCGGCGCCAGAGGACAAGCTATGGAGAGGATGGAGGTGGACCAGTGCGCAGGCGCAGGAGGAGCCCTCCGAAGGTCGAACAGCGCCCCCATGATCACGAACGTCAGGTGAGAGAACTGCACTCTCTTCTGAGTGACTGCAACGGAATACTACATTGTGAATTCATTTAAAACAGTGATATACACTACAAAATCAAGTAGATGGATAATTTAATACCAGAATTTTTTTTAAACTCCCAACTGTTGATTGCTGGCACTGCAGCGACGGGACGACAGTATTCAGCTCTAATAGTTCGGCTCGGTATCGTCGGAGCAGCGTTTCTGTAAACCCGAGCTGTCCCTCCCGGGTGAGTGTTCAGGTGGTCTGTGAATATCAGTTTTGGGCATTTAGTTTTCCAAAAACTTCGAAGAACCTTCAGCAATTCGTTTGTGTTACAGACTCTTCCTCTGTCCCCATTCTCCCTGTCATGTGAGAGATCCGAACACAAGAGACAGGTGAGAACTAAAGAATCGATTCTGTGAGGCTTTTAAACAGCAGCGAAGGAGTTCTCAAGTATGCTGAGCACTTGTGGCCTGCTTTTACTTCAAAATTAGAAGAGATAGGGAATCCATTGTAGTTTTGGCAAGAGTTTTATTAGTAGGCACAATTTATATTTGTGACCCTGGACCACAAAACCAGTCATAAGGGTAAATTTTTCGAAATTGAGATGTATACATAATCTGAACGCTGAATAAATAGCGTAAATAAGCTTTACATTGATGTATGGTTTGTTATGATAGGACAATATTTGGCCGAGGTACAACTATTTGAATATCTGAATCTGAGGGTGCAAAAAAAAATCAAAATATTGAGAAAATCGCCTTTAAAGTTGTCCAAATGAAGTTCTTAGCAATGCATATTACTAATCAAAAATTAAGTTTTGATATATATACAATAGGAAATGTGCAAAATATCTTCATGGAACATGAGATTTTTAAACAGCATTGGGGAAAAAACATGCTTATCAAGACTGTATTTATTTGCTCAAAAATACAGTAAAACAGTAACATTATGAAATATTAACACTTTAAAATAAAATGTAATTGATTCATGTGATGGCAAAGCTGAATTAACTAGTCTTCAGTGTCGCATGGTCCCCCAGAAACCATTCGAATATGATAAAATGCATTGCAATTTGGTGCAGAAGAAACATTTGTTATTATTATCGATGTTAAAAAATTAATGTTTTTGTGGAAACTGTGACAAATGTTTCTCTCAGGACTCTTTCATGAATAGAAAGCTGGAAAGAACAGCAATTATTTAAAATAGAAATCTTTTGTAAAAATGTAGAAGTATTTACTGTCATTTTTGATCAATTTAATGCATTCTTGCTGAATAAAAGTATTAAATTATTTAAAATAAATCTTACCTCAAACTTTTGAATGGTAGTGTATGTAATTCTAATGATATTTAGTTTTCTATATTATTATTTTTATTTATTTATTTATTTTGGCATTTTAAGTACTATTTATGCTATTAACATTTCATAAGTACATAGTAACAGTTCTTGGTTAATTTGAAGTAACACAAAATACTCCAGTTCAAAACTTAAGAGTCATCAGCAACTTAGTGAGTCATTTTGACCGATTTATTCAAAAGAATCAACTAGTTTGTGAGTCGAGCTACACTGTTGACGCTGTTTGTTGTTGCTCGCAGCATCATTCAGTTCCAGTATTAAAATTCTCATCTTTTAATCAGTTTTTCCAGTGACTTTGTTGTCATGTTACTTTGTCTTTTTTTCCCATCTTCTCCACTCAGGTGGAGTGGAATCGGACGGTCCACCCAAAAAGCTCTTTGTTGCTGGAGTCACAGACCCTGCTCACATAACCAGTTACACAGTCAGGTGAGTATTATAATGATGCTTAAATAATAAACTGAACAGAATCTCATGCCGCATTAGGATCTAGTTCAGCACTTAATAAATCTCTTCATACATGCAGTGTTTCCCAGTCAGTGGACTCTTCCTCTGGGACTGCTCCTGTCGGTTCAAACACCCAGGCCACCCCCCTGTCCCTCTCCCCTCCGCCCCCCTTCACCTCTCACCACCCCAGCATCTAAACCCCAGTATTCATCACATCATCACCTTGTAGAGCTTTGGACTCAAGGTGTTGTAAAACGAAGACCAAACTTCGACCTAAACTCGGTTCTGTCCCGTTTTGTTTTCCTGCTTTTAATTTTGTGCTTTGAATAGAGGATTTCAGCTCAATCCCTTCTGAAGGAAATTTGGCCTAGTTGTGACTTTGATTTCAAAGGAAATCAAGATGCAATAGAAGACGACAAAATCTTCTGGATGTATCTGACATGACAACATGCAGGCTATCATGTAATTTGTGAATAATTATGGATCTTCTGTGCCTACGGAATAGTGTGTTATTTATATGAAATAGTATCTGCAATAACACATTGCAATGAAAGTGTTCAGGTAATTGCAACCTGGCGAATATTGACACAAAGACCCTTTCCTCAGTGTACAGACTCAAGAGAAAGACCAGTTTTGCTCTTTGTTTTCCTCAACTCTTGTATTTTGGCACATCTTCAGCTTCCATTAGCAGGGTCCAGCGGTCTGGTAAAACGTCCTGAATGCATAGAAAAAGGACTAAGGATAGAGAGTATTAAAATCAGTTGGCCATAGATGTCAACTTTTTGTATAAATGTGTATAAATATGTGAATAATCGAATATTATTTTGGTAGGTATTAATCCTATGTTCTTCTCTTGCGTTTATCCGAGGGTTCTGATATCTGTAAATATGTTTATTTTTCCATATGTCTTTTAGCTTGGACTGAACTTTTTGAGTTTGAAAAAAATATTCCTTAAATCATTGGAAATACCAGTGAATTCAGGCAACTCCCACATTTTGATTTGCTTACCGCTTACTTGAAGAAATAGTTCACCCAAAAATGTCAATTTGCTGTTACTTTATCTACCCTCAGGCCATCCAAGATGTAGATGAGTTTGTTTCTTCATCAGAATAGATTTGGAGAAATTTAGCATTACATCACTTGCTTACCAGTGAATCATCTGCAGTGAATGGGTGCCGTCAGAATGAGAGACCAAACAACTGATTAAAAACTTCACAATAATTCAGAAGTGATGGTATAAAGTTAAAATGCCTTAAATTATGGATTTGCTTCGCAGCTTTTTGCTTCAAAAGATGTTTATTGATGGACTGGAGTCGTGTGGATTACTTGTGCATTATTGTGATGCTGTTTGGACTCCCATTCTGACGGCACCCATTCACTGCAGAGGATCCATTGGTGAACAAGTGATGTAATGCTAAATTTCTCCAAATCTAATGAAGAAACAAACTCATCTACATCTTGGATGGCCTGAGATTGAGTAAAAATTTTATGTATGGGTGAACTATTCCTTTAAAACAAGTACTGTAAAGACTAGATGTCTCACCTCGCATCTACAATCCAATGTTGGAGTATACGCAAAGCACTTTCAGTGAAAAGTCCATATCAATAACTGACCTAGAGCCTTAGAATGTATCCCGTCTGAGGCAAGATGCTTTTCAGTACCGCCGCAGTGTGAAAATCATTAGTCAAACTGTTTTTCCCTCCTAATGAAACCCTAAACAAGACTTTTATATTGTGAATTATGTACAGAAATTGAGGAGTTAAGATACTTGCAAGGGATGAGCTGTTGCATTACAAAGCAAGATAAACCGTTTCTACAATCACAGTTTTAGCGGATATCATACTCTTCCTCTTCTACTATTTGCACAGTGTTTAGATGTCAATCTTGCTGTTACATGAGTTGGGATCATATTTACTTTTATTGTAATGGGTCTTGTTTTGTATGTTTTAATTGTTTGAATCCTTTCACCTGGGAAATATTTTCAGCTCTTTTAAGTTGATCTGCTTTTTGTGTAAAAGCAGCAGTTCTGGATTGTGGCGTTTGAGCTGGATGGATTTTATTAAGCTCATTGAAAATGTATTATCCAAAAAGTGACATGCTGCAGTTAATTGAACTGGAAGCCCTTCTAAAGCAAATTAATCCTGATACAGCACAGCATTATGCAAATTGTTAGATTGTGGCGCATGTTACATTATTTATGAATGTGTAAAGGCTCTGGTTGCAGTATGTACTTCAGTGTCAATGTAAAAATATATCACAAATCTTGATTCCCAAAGTCTTTATTGAATCGCCACCGGCAGCTTGTCGGTCTCTAAAGTTGCACAACAGACATTTGAAGCCGTTCCTTTGTTTCCATATTCATATCCATGTATCAGGAGGAATACAGCTCATTCTTCGATTGCCTTTTATTTTTACTCATTTCGTTTTAAATTCCATGATAATGCCTTACAGGTCTTGAAGTTTTAATTCCAAAGTTACTTGCACTGTCATTTGCAATTTCCAGTTATTGGGGTCCTTTGGATTTCAAAGTTTGATACCAATGTTTATGGGTTTTTAAAAGTGATTACCAATGTGCAATATGCATTAAAGTTGCTGGAATTAGTATGTCACGTTCATCTGGATAATCAGTTAAGTTCATTGGGATACCAGGTATTTATCAAGAACCTGAACGGAAGACTTGACAGCTGTTTGTTCTGAATCGTTTGTATAATCTAGAATAAGTACCATGTCATTTATTTTTCAGATTTGCCATACACTTACTATGACAGGATCTGTTGTATCTGTGTGTCAGAGATAGAATCATGATTTGTCCTTTGTTCTCCTTAAATGACTGAGTGGTGTTGTGAAGAAACTAAATGGATTGTGAGCACACGAAAAACATTGTAAAGAAATGCCAAAGCCGATAGGTTTTGCCTATCAGTTGTTCAAGTTCCAGAAAAATTAAGGGAAAGATGGATATCGTTTTGACATTGGTAGCAAAAGTACATTTATTCCCTCTCAGTTGCTCAAGATGAATGTTCAATTATCAGAGAAAAAATTTAATTTACCATCAAATGTATACCATATATTCTTATGAAAAAGATCATAATTAAAAACTCATTTTATTGATCTGTATGCTGTCTTTTTATGCTGAGCCAAGAAATTGTATGACGAGACATTTTGTTCATAAAAAACTTAAGCAGGCATGTCTCATGTTTGCTGTTGAAATGACCTGTTTAATTATTCTGCAATGGTAAAAAATTATATATATATATATACATACAATAGAAGCTGCACCTAACATACAATGGCAGTGAAAGTAAATGGTAAAAAAATTTGATATTGTGCTGCCACATTTTCATTACAAGCAGCATCTCACTTCACAAAGCTTTACTTCAGCCAAATGGGCCTAATAATTAAAAAAAGAAGTATTTTTACAGGTAGTTTGACCCCTGCACCACTGTCCTGCAAACCCCTTTTCAGCTGTGGGCAAATCAGATCACACATCATGAACCACTAAAAACATTATTCCATTATTTATTTTTGCTGCATTTTAAGAGCTATAAGGACGCAGTTATTTTTCATGGAGTAATACTTCATCTTCACTGACGTGGGTAGAAAATGCTTGGCAATGTTGTACAGGTTTATCTGGTGCTGTTTGAACCCACAGTGGAAAAGGTATAACGGGGTACAGCAATGATCAAACTGCAGAATCTTTACATGTGCTGCCCTTGATTCCAATATCACTTTGACTGACAAGTGAAGATCAGCGGGACAGCAGAGGCAGATCACTGGAGTTCATTATAAGACTGGAGTCCAGATTCAAGCTCTCTGCAAGAAAAAAGGACAAGAAAATTGGACCCACTTCAACACATTTAATCAACACATTTTCTATATGGATTAATTGACCCAAAATGAAAATTCTGTCATGTCATTTGTGATATCACTGTCTGTGGAACAATTCTGAATAATACACTAAAAATACAGGACAATTTTTAAATAATACAGTCACTCTTTTACATGCAGTTTCAAAGAATAGATTGACAGTTTTCCAGGGTTTCTGCAAGTTCTATGAAGAAAAATTTAAGACATTTTAAAGACCATTTTAAGACCAATTGAAGAAAATTCAAGGAATAAATTGAAGGGAACACAATATGGCAATATGTTCTCTAAACATAAATGTCTAGGAGCAGACAATGAGTATGTATCAGCAACTCTTTGAAAATATAACAGATCCAACAGATTTCCATTACTTTAAATTATAATTTATATATATAGCTGAAATACAATATGGAAATACCTTCTAATCACAACGCAAAAAAGTCATGTAATTCCTCAGTATGTTTGTCTTTTTTTCCAGAGCAAATATATAATGATTTTTAAATCAACATACACTGAAAAGCAATATCACATAAGATAGGAAGTCTTGTTTTCTGTGAAATTGATCAAAGTGAATTGAGCTTATGATTAAAACAAAAACTTGCCAATGGGCTCAAGACAAAACAACTTAATTTAAAGGGAAAACACGTTTTCTGATCCCAATGACATGTTTGTTCTTGTTTTCAGCATAAATTCAATTAATTTTGTTCACATTCTCAGAAAACAAAACTTCAACTATCTTCATTTTGCATCTAAAGTAAATGTGTCTTGCTTTCAGGATGTTTAGATATTTGTATTGGAAAACAAGACAAAAATACAGAGGAAGATATTCCATTTTTGCAGCGCATGCACGATTTAATGCCATTACTTTATGAATTTAAGACTTTCTGCTCCAATTTAAGAACTTTTAAGGCCTAAATTTGTGGAAGGGTGAATTGATACTTTTTAAGACCCGCAGAAACCCTGTTTTGTAGCTTCATAATAAATACAAATGAACCATAAAAGGGTTCTGAATGACACGAGGGTAAATGATGACAGAATTTTCAATTTTGGGTCAATTATGTCTCATTGCATTTAAAATGTGACTCACCTTGGTCAAAGTTTGGTTTTTTAGTGGAACCCTCTCCAAGCCCTTCAATATCCACCAAATCACTGTTCACATCAGAGTCATTCAGAGCACTCAGAGTCACATCTAATAATAGACAGCCAAACTGTGTAAGTGTGCTGACAGACATAACCACACCACTTGTATACTAATATTACTAATTGCTATTTTGTTAAAATTTTTTTATCCTTTTTCATTAAAACTGAGTCACCTGCTGGTTTAGGGTTCTTTATTGCTGGTTGCAAAGACGAAGAACTCTGCAATCCAGTTGTCATGACAACCTGTGAGGTCGGCAAAGTGATAACGGTGGGGGCGACTGATGCAGGAGGGGGCGGTAGCGTCACTGTGGTTTTCTTCATCGTTTTTTTAGGCGACTCTGCAGTGAGAGGAACCCTGCTGTCCTCATACAGCTTCCTTTTCACTGTGGTCTTAATCTGGGCGCTACAAGATGATGAGGAAAAAGAGAGACAGAGAGATTTGTGGTGCATTAGGGTTAGATAGGAGAAGATGCACTCCTTAAGAACAATGTGCATTTGCTTTTAATTTGTAACATATTTAGAAAGTTTAGCATGTAATATAGTTATTAGAGCACAAAATGTAAAATTATTCAAAGAGGCCAACTTGCCCCACCACTGTGGTAAGTTGGCCCCATACCTGGGGAAAGAAGCCCCAACTTTTACAGAATGTATAAATGACTTCTGATACCATTTTTATTGATTTTATATATGGGTCAAAGACACAACGTGTCTGCAAAGGACTATTTTGGTGTCTGCATCAAATTAAATTTACAAAAGTGATTTTATATACATAGAAAGCATATTAAATGCAAATAAAGTGTCTACTTCCAATATTTTAAATAACTTTTGTGAACATAAGAAATCAAAATATGTGTGAAATAATGTTCCATCGCCATTCAGCGTAACATATATATTTATGTAAAAATGAAACATACTTATTCTAAACTGTACTTAATATAATGTATAAAATAAAATGTGATCATATGAAATTTTATTATATATTAAATGATTAAAAGCTTCTTGCTGACAAATGGTTAAAACTTAGTGGTCTGAAGGACAGTGGCAGCAAGGATTGGTAAAGATTTAAAATTACAATTAATTAGTTCTCGCGCTGTGATCCTTAAATACAGTATTTTAATGTCATCTAATGATTCTTATTCTAAATATGCTGAAAAGATTTTTTGGTATATAAGCTATTGTTACAACGAATGAAAATGTCAAATACCAATTTTTAAACTGATCCTGTCACAAAAAATACATATAAAACAGCATTTTATATTCCACAAAATTAGACTATATTACATCTAATATTAGAGAATTTTAGTATTTTAATTTTGAAAAGAAAAAGAAAAAGCTGACAATTATACAGCTATAATAACTAGCACACCTACAGCTTCATAAACACTTACACCGTTCGCTCCTTTATGACTGAGCTGATGCTGTTCAAATCTTCACCGAAGCGGCGAACTGCAGAACGCAGCATCTCGATCTCCGTATCGGTCCATTTGGCTCTGAGAGAAGCAGTGTGCAAAGGGAAGGAGTCAGTTATAATATATCCACTGCACTTAAACAACAACAGTACATCTGAAATACTGCAGGAGATGCCGTTTCAGCAGAAGGGGGGTCATAAAGCACGTCTCACCCTGCAGGAGAAGAGTCCGCCACTGGATGCAGCTGCATGGTCAGTTCACCCAGTTTGGAGAATGCAGCCCCTGCAGCCGAGAAGATCTCGCCCACCTGATTGACATTTATATGTGCTTTTTATTTACCAATTACTTAAGATTATTTATAATGCAAAAACAAAATGCAAATGTTTACCTTCGTGGAAGCTGAAGTCATGCTGGAGTGATGAGCTGAATTAAACAGACCTAACACGAAAACAACTCAGTCGAGTCTCAGTCAGCTGCGCTGAATAGTTAAATCGATCAAACCGGTTTAAAATGACTGTTGCAGTCATTCAGTGACCATTCGTATTAAAATATATTTATCTTTATTATTTATCTAATAAAAAAGTCTCTATAATCAGCATGAACGGAACATAATAGTTCGAACTAAAAATTCCCAGAGTACATTGCGCTTCGAAAATGAGGCGTGTGATTGGTCAGTGCATAGCCAATCAAATGATAGCACACGATCTGCGCAACATCGGTCTGCGAAAATAGCCGAGCGCTGTCGAATGGGCTTACGGAGCTAGTCGAACAAACCCGAGTGCTGCCGATATACATTGTCATCCCGACTGGATGTAGAATCATTTCCCCCGTTTTGAGAGGAAGAAGCGGATAAAATGCCGTCGCTTTTATTCTGTGGGCCCAAGTTGGCCGCATGTGGAATCGTGTTAAGCATCTGGGGTGTCATTATGCTGGTAAGGATTATAGTCTTCGTGACATTGCTTGCTAGCTGTAGCTAATGGCATTCACCCCGAACGACAGGAATATTTTACCGATATAGTAATAGTAAATATTGCTGTATTTTGATCTTCACTGATAGAAAATGCATGCATTTATAATAAATGTGCATAAATAGATCTGTTCAGTCACCTATTTATCAGCAGGATATACCAGGAACTTGAAATGAGGAATAAAACAGCAGGTGTCGGGGTAACGGTAATGGGATGTAACGTTAAAGGCCTCATAGCTATTCATTACCGCTTTGACATGACAATTTTTAAGTACTTTTCTTTTCTTTGTGTGTGTGTGTTCATAGATATGTATTGGGTTCCTATTCATATTTAATTCCACCTAATGTCTTAATATTAACAACGATATTATAATTTTTTTCAGTCAATGTTGGGAATTTTCTTCAGTGCAAAATCTGCTGTGCTGATCGAAGATGTTCCATTTACTGAGGAAGACATCCGTGATGAGTGAGTTAATCTGATCAAATATTTTAAGATAATTTACCTTTTTGGGGTCAGTAAGTTTTGTTCTCTCTCTTTTCTCAGTAAGGACACACTCAATTAATCAAAAGTGACTGTAAAGGCATTTATAATGTTTTAAAAATTGTTTGAAATAAATGCTGTTCTTTTGGACTTTCTTTGGATCAAACATCATGCAAAAATGTCATGGTTTCCACAAAAATGTTTAACAGCACAACTGTTTTCAACATTGATAATAATAATATGTTTCTTGAGCAGCAAATCAGCATATTAGAATGATTTCTGAAAGATCATGTGACACTGAAGACTGGAGTAATGATGCTGAAAATTCAGCTTTGCTATCACAGGAATAAATTACATTTGAAATGTATTCAAATAGAAAACAGTACAATTGTAATATTTCAAAATATTACTGTTTTACCGTATTTTTGCTATAAATGCAGCCTTTGTGAGCCTAAGAAACTTATTTCAAAAACATTTAAACCATTTTACCAAACCCAACTTTTGAATGGTAGTGAATATTTTTTTATTAATTGAAGTATAATGAGGGCTCATATTTTGAATAGACTACATGCATTGAATGAGAATGGACAGATATGACATTTATACGTGCAAATGTTTACTGGTTAATTTTCTTTTCTTCAACAGCAAGAATCCACCGCAGACCATTTACGGACTCTACAACCAAGTTGGCATCAACTGCTTCATTGCTGCTGCCATCTATGTAGGTGTCGGTGCATTGTCTCTCTGTCAGGTTCGCCTTAACAAGCGCCAGGAGTACATGGTCACATAAACCCAAACAATTTCAAATTCAACAGCAATTATTCATAATTATTTATTTTTTAAAAACTTCCCAATGATCTAGGAGGACAGTTTGTTCTGTTACATTGTCTGAATTGGATATATTTGGCAGTTCATCTACGGGTCAAAATCTAAACACAAGATATATTGATAGTGTAACGAATACAAAGTGAAATAATCATGAAAAACGGTACATATGCACAGATACATGCGGTGTGCATATATATATGCATGCTATGTATTATATTTTCCAGAAATATGCAGATCTTTGGCTCCACATTCCCTATGATATAAATAAACAAAACAAGCAGAAAGTCTTTACTTTAACAGTTGTCTTCTGATGAACCTAAAAGACACTATAAAACACTATGAGTCCATATGATAGTAGCTGGTGTTCATGTAGAACAGTGTTTCTCAACCCTGGTCCTGAGCGCCCCCCAACACTGCACATTTTGTATGTCTCCCTTATCTGACACCCATTTCAGGTCCTGGAGTTTCTTTTAATGAGCTAATGAGTTGAATCAGGTGTGTTTGATTAGGGAGACGCACAAAATGTTCAGTGCTGGGGGGCGCCCAGGACCAGGGTTGAGAAACACTGATGTAGAATGTGTGAATGTTTGACTTTTTTTTTATTTCGATGTTTAAATGTTTGTGTGGTAATATAAATGTCTGTTATTTTATTGAAGTACACCCTGCAACCCTTGTGCTGTATACTTGATATTAACACAACTGTGATGAACAACACAACAAATGTGAATTGAGAGTCTTATGTTCCCTTCAATAAAATACTAGTGAAAAAAATATATTTTATTGTTCTTTTGTCAAACCTATTAAAAAAAGGGATAACAGAAAATCAGAAAACATGTAACAATTCTCAATAAGACTTCTCAAAAACCTTTAGTGATATTGTAAGCAAATCACTGGGTTTGTCAAAGAGAATTTCCTTAGAATATGAAGAATAAAAAGTGTTGTTGGCTTGTAGACGGTATTCATAAAGGTTTTGATGCACGTGGATACTTATGAAGTCAGCTGGCAGATATTACAAAGCAACAGTCCATTTAATATGTCTTTACGTCTGTGGGTCAAGCATTATCTCACAGGTGCGTCCCAGCTCTCCCAGTTTGACGCGGGCATACTCTGACCGGTTTAGGGCCATCTGACAGTCCTTTCTGGCCGAGTATGTCGATCCCTCATGAGGCTGACCTGTTGCCACCTTTACTCAAAACAAAGGATGAGAGAAAGAAAAAAGGAGGAAGTTAGTCCATCACATCACAGAGGTATAGTCAATGGTTTCCTCCAATTCTATGTTTTATACATATATACAGCATAGATAGATTGATAAAATGATCGACAGATTGAATGACAATAGTTCAGGGGTGGCGAACCTGAGAGAGCCGTCCTGGAGAGCCGCAGCCCTGCAGAGTTCAGCTCCAACCCTAATTAAAACTCACCTGCCTGTAGCTTCCTAGTAACCGTTCAGACCTTGATTAGCTTGTTCAGGTGTGTTTGATTAGGGTTGAAGCAAAACTCTGCAGGGCTGCGGCTCTCCAGGACTGACGTTCGCCACCCCTGCAATAGTTAGATAGATAGATAGATGTGAACACACATACACACCTGTGTCAGATATCGGATCTGTGCACTCAGTTCACTCTCAACTCTATTGATGGAGGTCTGGAACTGGTTCAGCTGTCGGTCTAATAAACTGGCATTGGCCTTCTCTTTAGAAAGCTCCAGAACGATCGTTCCTGAAAGACAGATTGTTACTATTCAATTTGTCTACTTGAATAAACATAAAAAATGCTAAATATTATCACTGTAGATGAGGTTTAAATATGTATATTTTGTAATGTCAATTACAAAACCCTTAATTTAAAATAAAACAACATCAATAAGCTGGTTTGTTGGTCTCCCGGTCTGGCCCAGATGGTCTGTTTACTGCAGGGGCCACCAAACTTGGTCCTGGAGGGCCGGTGTCCTGCAAAGTTTCGCTCTAACTTGCCTCAACACTTCTTCTTTTTCTTTTTTGGTGTTTATTGGCGGTTGGCAACCTAACTGACTGGTGCATTTTGCCTCAACACACCTGCCTGGAAGCTTCAAGTATCCCTAGTAAGAGCTTGATTAGCTGATTCAGGTGTGTTTATTAGAGTTGGAGCTAAACTCTGCAGGATCCCTCCAGGATCGAGTCTGGTGACCCCTGGTTTACAGGCTTTTCCTAGTACGACCAGCTAATACAAGCTTGGCTATTCTAGGACATAAGCAACAAACTATTTTAAGCTTCTTTTTGTCGGCAGGGACGTCAGTTCTGTACGTTTTATCATATTTTATACGATTACGTCAGGGTTTATAAGGTAATGCAATCAGAATCCAAATCCCCGAATATGAGTGTCTGAATTAATATTAAACATTACTGAAATTAAACCCATGCATACATTTATGAAGTGACAAACCTGCGCTCTGCAGCACTAAAGCAATCTCCTTCTCCACATCTTCTAACGCTCTCAGCCTGTCATTCGCCATTGCGAACACAGCCTAAGTTACAGAAAAAGAGAAAACAGAAGACGAAAGACGAGCGCTCAACTCAGACATACAGAATGAGCAACAACAGCAGAAAAAAACAAACGCACACGTTAGCTACACAACGAGTGTCTATTTACTTAAATATTAAAAAAAGCACCTCAGAAATCCATGTTTAATAGGTAATTTTAAGGCTACTTACATTCATTCACTGTAGGCTAAACTTGACGAGATACTCAGTAGCCTAGTACACAAAGCGCTCTCAGCGAACTACGGAAGCCGCAGCGGAACAAATTAATAGAACGCGAGCCCTGTTGACTACTTGACTGCATTGGTGGAAACAAAACATGGGTTATGTTTGACTAGTAATTAAAGCCATTCGCGCCACGTCTAGAGAAAATCTGCAACAGAGCAACAGAAATTAGTTATCTGGGACCGCCCGTAATATTTAAAGTGAAAACGCTGTAATAATACATTGAATAAGAGTGTAAAATAGGTGAATTGTAATGTGAATTGTGAATGCTCCACCACAGACCATGGAGTCCTGGAAGAGTCACGTGCGGGCAGAGCTGTTTCTCAGAGACTGTAGGCAGAGAGATCCTTTCTCTGGCCTTTTTGACAAGGGTGAGTTTCATTACAAATGTACAGACACAAGCTATCAGTATTGCTTCAGTAATGGCTGGATGCTCTGACAGTGTCCAGGCTAGAGGAGATGCTGGCCTTTCACATGAAACTCTGGCAAGACATGGACACATGCAGGTAAGACAAACAGTACCTGACATCTATTCTAGTACTGATTTGATTTCTTGATTTATTGGAATGGATTAGAATAGATTATGCATATAACCTGGTATATGCACTTGCCATACATTTCAATTTATTGTGTTTTGTTTGTTGTCATATTTTCCTCAGTTCCAAAGAAAATGGAAGCTCCAGATGCCCAGATGAAGGCGGCACCCTTTCTTTGAGAGTCAATGAGCTGGAATTTCTTAATCAACAGGTGAGAGTAATATTCAGAACAATAAACATCGGTAATAAACTGCCTTATTGCAGTAACTAATATTTTATTTCCCACCAGATCTTGGGATTTTGTGCATAACTTTGTCATTTGTACATTTAATTAAGGTTTCGGTTATGCTTAATTTATATGAAATTAGTTTTTACTTTATAATTTAGCTTTTTCAATGTTTTTGAAATAAGTCTCTAATGCTTATCAAGTCTGCATTCATTTGATCACAAATACAGTAAAGTACAGTGATACTGTGAAATATTACAGTTAAAATGACTGTTTTACATTTGAATATATTTTACTCCAGTCTTCAGTGTCACATGATCCTTCAGAATTCATTCTAATGATTTGCTGCTCTGTAAAAATGTACTTTCTTAGTATTGTCAATGTTGAAAATAGTTGGTTTGCCTAATATTTTTGGAAAAAATTCAATGTTTGGAAAAAAAGGTTTAAAAATAATACTTTTATTCAACAAGGACGCATTAAATTGATCAAAACTGACAGTAAAGACATTTATAAGGTGACAAAATACTTCTATTTTCAAATAAATTCTGTTCTTTTGAACATTATTCATCAAAGAATCCTGAAACAATGTATCACAGTTTCCATAGTCTTATCACTACTACTAACGATGGAATATCCTTCCTCTTCTGTTTTTTCTAGCTCAAGCAGAAAATCTCAGATCTAACCAGCAATATATACCTGAAGGAGGCAGAGTTACAATACTGTCACTCACAGTAGGTCGAACAGCCAGTTACATCTTGAAAAAGATGACAAAATCATCAAGACAAGCAGTACTAATAGGCCTCTATGTCTTCCTGCCATAGAGTTGCCCGCTACAGGACCGAAGCGGTTGTATTGGCCCAGGGGGCTTTCTGTCTGAAGGCCAATCTGGCGGAATACGAGTATCAGCTTGAGTGTCAATCTAAGGAACTGACAGCACTGAGACTGGAGCACAGCTCACTCAGAGAGGAGCTGACTGCCGCAAACCTCCAGAACGAGCAGCTCCTCGACCGCTGGTTAGAGGAGAAGAAAGAGGAGGCTGAGAGGATTAATAAGTACAATGCAATACAAGAAAGGTTAATGTAATTCTATTAATATTTTATTATGGTTTCTTCAATGACTTTGCACATCAATGGTTTGCAATTCATTTATCGTCCACTAGGTGGCAATGTTTGGCAGGTCGACTGAAGAAGCGGTCTCGTGTCAGATCTCGTGCAGCCAACAGCAGCTCAGAAATCAACCCGACAGTCTAAAACTCAACGCGCCGCTTCTTAAGACTTGCTTATCTATGAATGTGCATTTTATGTTGTTGGCTATTTTTCTATGCTTTTGGAGATTATTTTACAAAAAACCTCAGAGGTTAGTAATAAAGCTTATTCTTAATATCCATATTTAATAACACAGTAACACAGCCATGTTGTATTTCTATTAGTTTTATTTTCCATGTTTAATAGGTAATTTTAAGGCTACTTACATTCATTCACTGTAGGCTAAACTTGACGAGATACTCAGTAGCCTAGTACACAAAGCGCTCTCAGCGAACTACGGAAGCCGCAGCGGAACAAATTAATAGAACGCGAGCCCTGTTGACTACTTGACTGCATTGGTGGAAACAAAACATGGGTTATGTTTGACTAGTAATTAAAGCCATTCGCGCCACGTCTAGAGAAAATCTGCAACAGAGCAACAGAAATTAGTTATCTGGGACCGCCCGTAATATTTAAAGTGAAAACGCTGTAATAATACATTGAATAAGAGTGTAAAATAGGTGAATTGTAATGTGAATTGTGAATGCTCCACCACAGACCATGGAGTCCTGGAAGAGTCACGTGCGGGCAGAGCTGTTTCTCAGAGACTGTAGGCAGAGAGATCCTTTCTCTGGCCTTTTTGACAAGGGTGAGTTTCATTACAAATGTACAGACACAAGCTATCAGTATTGCTTCAGTAATGGCTGGATGCTCTGACAGTGTCCAGGCTAGAGGAGATGCTGGCCTTTCACATGAAACTCTGGCAAGACATGGACACATGCAGGTAAGACAAACAGTACCTGACATCTATTCTAGTACTGATTTGATTTCTTGACTTATTGGAATGGATTAGAATAGATTATGCATATAACCTGGTATATGCACTTGCCATACATTTCAATTTATTGTGTTTTGTTTGTTGTCATATTTTCCTCAGTTCCAAAGAAAATGGAAGCTCCAGATGCCCAGATGAAGGCGGCACCCTTTCTTTGAGAGTCAATGAGCTGGAATTTCTTAATCAACAGGTGAGAGTAATATTCAGAACAATAAACATCGGTAATAAACTGCCTTATTGCAGTAACTAATATTTTATTTCCCACCAGATCTTGGGATTTTGTGCATAACTTTGTCATTTGTACATTTAATTAAGGTTTCGGTTATGCTTAATTTATATGAAATTAGTTTTTACTTTATAATTTAGCTTTTTCAATGTTTTTGAAATAAGTCTCTAATGCTTATCAAGTCTGCATTCATTTGATCACAAATACAGTAAAGTACAGTGATACTGTGAAATATTACAGTTAAAATGACTGTTTTACATTTGAATATATTTTACTCCAGTCTTCAGTGTCACATGATCCTTCAGAATTCATTCTAATGATTTGCTGCTCTGTAAAAATGTACTTTCTTAGTATTGTCAATGTTGAAAATAGTTGGTTTGCCTAATATTTTTGGAAAAAATTCAATGTTTGGAAAAAAAGGTTTAAAAATAATACTTTTATTCAACAAGGACGCATTAAATTGATCAAAACTGACAGTAAAGACATTTATAAGGTGACAAAATACTTCTATTTTCAAATAAATTCTGTTCTTTTGAACATTATTCATCAAAGAATCCTGAAACAATGTATCACAGTTTCCATAGTCTTATCACTACTACTAACGATGGAATATCCTTCCTCTTCTGTTTTTTCTAGCTCAAGCAGAAAATCTCAGATCTAACCAGCAATATATACCTGAAGGAGGCAGAGTTACAATACTGTCACTCACAGTAGGTCGAACAGCCAGTTACATCTTGAAAAAGATGACAAAATCATCAAGACAAGCAGTACTAATAGGCCTCTATGTCTTCCTGCCATAGAGTTGCCCGCTACAGGACCGAAGCGGTTGTATTGGCCCAGGGGGCTTTCTGTCTGAAGGCCAATCTGGAGGAATACGAGTATCAGCTTGAGTGTCAATCTAAGGAACTGACAGCACTGAGACTGGAGCACAGCTCACTCAGAGAGGAGCTGACTGCCGCAAACCTCCAGAACGAGCAGCTCCTCGACCGCTGGTTAGAGGAGAAGAAAGAGGAGGCTGAGAGGATTAATAAGTACAATGCAATACAAGAAAGGTTAATGTAATTCTATTAATATTTTATTATGGTTTCTTCAATGACTTTGCACATCAATGGTTTGCAATTCATTTATCGTCCACTAGGTGGCAATGTTTGGCAGGTCGACTGAAGAAGCGGTCTCGTGTCAGATCTCGTGCAGCCAACAGCAGCTCAGAAATCAACCCGACAGTCTAAAACTCAACGCGCCGCTTCTTAAGACTTGCTTATCTATGAATGTGCATTTTATGTTGTTGGCTATTTTTCTATGCTTTTGGAGATTATTTTACAAAAAACCTCAGAGGTTAGTAATAAAGCTTATTCTTAATATCCATATTTAATAACACAGTAACACAGCCATGTTGTATTTCTATTAGTTTTATTTTTAAAAATTAAATAAATTCAGTTTTAAAATAAAAAATTAAATGGCAAACAGTGTATCCTGTATTTATGAAAATTGTAATAACACGACAAATTTCCTTTCTCTTGAAGGATGTTAAATCTCTATATATTTACTTTTCTTTTTTTTAACCAATGCAGCAGTCCAACAAATTAAAAGCAGCACTTTCATATATTAACATCCTGTGCTCAATCACACATGATCCTCACAGCAGCACTGAGAAACATGCACAGCCCATGTCAATGAAACCATCCATCTGTCCATACTGTATATAGATCACATGAAAATTCATGACCATCTTTGTAAAGGAATAAATATGGAGCAAATCTCACCATTTTGCTGTTCATAACATAAGAGCTGGCACAATTTCAGAGATATAATTTTACATGCCTATGCAAAAACATATGAAATTCCCTGGAATCCCCTCCTTCATTACCTTTTCATATGCATATTAATTAGTCTTTTAAGTTTCTCCAGTTTTCAGTAAAATATCCCAATACTGCTTCTTTCGTAATGAGATGAGAATTGTTTCATTGTTACACCCTTGAGGAGATGAGATGCACAATTTAATGAGAAGCGCTTTGTTCTTGATGAATGAGATGATAAATTCAGCAGTCCTCTTCCTTGTCGATTATTCCTTTTAACCGCAAGCGAGCAAAGTCCTCGAATACAATGTCGTCATCTGGGGTGAAACTGCTGTTAGAAAGAGTAACATAGAAAAAACAAAGCTTAAAACAAGGGAGATACATGATCATTATGCTTAATGTTTATATATTTTTTTTAAAATCTCTTGCTTTGTGTCAAACTCTATCAAGTTGGTGTCAATTGGTGGATCCAACACTGGAGCAGCTGTTGAACAAAAAAGTAACAGCAACTTAATAAAGGAGGTCCTGCCACAGTTCCATGCAGCCTATTTAGTGCAATTAATTAGGTGTTTTGTGTTTAGTAATTTCTCGGCACAAACCTGAGGTTGAATGTGAAAGGGTGGAATCTGTGGGTTTTGGATGCATTAAGACAAAAGGCAGTTCTACTGAGACGTCCCTGAATGAAAGAGAAAAACAGCACAAAACCAGCACTGCCATCATTTGAAATACTTGAGGTGTGCAAGAGCTTATAAGAGGATGAATCTCTCACGAACTGATTAGCCCATATTTCAAAATCAAAACAATATTGCTCTCCTTTTGAACTTTCTATTTATCACAGAATAAGCAAATCAGCATATAAAAATGATTTCTGAAGGATCATGTGACACTGAAGCAATGGCTGCTGAAAATTCAGCAAAATATATAAAAATAGAAAACAGTTATTTTAAATTGTATTTCAGTAATATTTCACAATATATATTTTTACTTACATTAGTTAATGCACTGTGAATTAACATGAACTAACAATGAACGACTGTAATTTCACATTATCAGAGATTAATAAATACTGTAATAAATGTATTGTTCATTGTTTGTTCATGTTAGTTAATACATTAACTAACAGAACCTTATTGTAAAGTGTTACCAGAAAAACTACTGTAGAACTATTAAAATTTTTTGGGATTCTGACATGTTCATCACAATTAAGCCCCATTCACTTCCATTGTTAAGAGTCTCACTGTAACATTTTGATTCATTTTTTACCATGTTTTTATATATTATTACTGAAAATAAAAGATCATGTTTAAAATAACTCATAACTGTCTTTGTAAAGGAATAAATATACATATGAAGGCTTTCAAAAACATATATAATCTGACCATCATCATTTGCCAAGCTTAACGATTCAGCTGGTTTCATCATGTGAAAAAGGTTTCATTATTTAAAAAATATATGTAATTAATTTTTTTAATAAATTTGTAAAGTACAACTGAAAGTATACATCATTCTAGTAGTATTTGTTTTACTTAAATTATTTTAATATATATATTTAAAAAAATCTATACAGGATGATTTTCCCCAGTGTAATAAATAGGCCCAAAACATAGGCATTATTTACATTATAAAATGTCTTTCTTTGGATTTAGAGATACAAATATGAACTAGACATTTCTTAGTGAGATTCATCTATACATGCGGCTTCATGTGTGTTAAGGTTAGTGCTCTAACACTATGAATATCAGACATCAGATAAACATCAGGGTAAAGTTGAGCAGAGCTTTGAACAGCATGCAGATCTCCTTTTCATGGCAGACCTAGAGACACTACAGCAAAACACCATGCACAATGAATGTATTTACCTCTCCAGCAAGCTGCTTAAAAGCCTGACGCAACAGACAGATGGAGGGGAAGGAAACAGACAGAAAAAGAGACATAAAACAATGGGAGAATGACAAAATGTTCTGATAACCAGAACGAAGCAGCACAGAGAGGCGAGGGTTCAGGGAGGGAATATAAAACACAAGGCTCACAGCATCCTGCAAAAGTTTTAACAGCTAAAGCACAGCACACTAACTATAGCACCACCACTGAAAATATCAAACCGAAAAAAGATCAAGCACGGTCAACCGCAAAAACCGACTAGTTCACTATTGTTAATATCCACAGAGAATTGAATCATACCATCAATCTTGTGCAAAACAACACACAATAAATCACTTGTGACATTAAATCTCATTAATTATTATTTCTAAACCAACGCCAACATCTAGCGGTCCTTAATATTTGTGGACTGTTACGGAACAATCAAAACTGTTCCCCAGTGTGTGACTGTAGAGAGGAAGCAGGTGGGACAGAACACATGACTCACCCTCCACGGGAGACCACCAGTTTGACTTTAACCCGATATGACACCAGGACACCCAGAACTTCCTTATTACTCACATCCTTCACGCTGCAGTCAAACACACAAACAGAATCCTTAAATTCTCTCTTTATCTTCAAAAAATTAAGGTCAACACAAAACTTCTGCAATGTATCACACTGTGAAACAGGGAAATCAACTGCTTTTGGCACCAATGGTAAACCACGGACTGATGAATCATGCGCAAGACCGTTTTTGATTGTACACTACCACTCAAAAGTTTGGAGTTAGTACGTTTTTTTCCTTTTCCTATTCAGCATTCAGCAAAGATGCATTAAATTGATCAAAAGTGACAGTAAAGACATTAATAATGTTACAAATCCATTTCAAATAAATGCTGTTCTTTTGAACTTTCATGTATCATGGTTTCCACCAAAACATTAAAGGCAGAGTAAGTGATTTTTCAAAAACTGATTCGGGCCGAATCGCAAAACAAACTTGTAGCCAATCAGCAATAAGGGGTGTGTCTACTCATGATGTGGAGGAGAGCGCGTTCAGTGCATGGGACGGACATTAGCCGAGCCGAGCGACAGAAAGATAGAGATGGCGGATTAAAAACAAAAGAGGAAAACGTCTGCGGAACGATAAGGCAAGAAGTAGGACCCGTGTAAATATCGGATCAGCTTTCCAGCGCTGGAGAGAACTCAAGGAGCGGAGGCCTGCGATCGGACGCCGAGGTTGCTTTGTTTCTTCTCAATAGGTGAGTAACACCGTGTCTACAACAGCTAAAGTCTGCCTACACTGGACGCGATCAAACGACCGTTGAAAACCATTTGAAATGTGTGTCAGCACGTCACAAATAGTCAAGTCAAGTCAAGTTTATTTGTACAGCGCTTTTCACGATACAAATCATTGCA